CTTCAACCCCCGCTGTCCAAATACAACTACCGACCCAAGCCCTAAAGCCCGAGAGCAATGTCGTCTCCTGAACTCGACTCACCTAAACCTACTGATCCTCCACTGCTTACAGCTCGATTTGAACGGGCTAGGGTTGGGAAGGAGCCTGTGCGCCACGAAAAGTGGCCACAGCTGCAGCGGACTAAATAGAAGCAATGGAAATTCTTATGCTGACACCGCGAGCAAGAACAACAGTACCACTAAAAGAGCAAACGACGACTTCTAGCGCGCCCGTATGCCACTAGTGGCACTGCTGTATAGATCTACCCACGTTACTGCCCTGAATGCAGAATATACTGTGACTCTGCCCAATGGGCCACTTCGACCACTGCCACTGCCGAAGCCCTTCGCGAAGCTACATCGCTTGAACAGTCTCGATTCTTTCTGATATCATGACCAGCAGAATTCCTCTGCTTCTTACTACCATTGCGCACCCTAAACCCTAAACCCTAAACCCTAAACCTTACTCGCTGGATCCTAGAGCAGCGAGCCTTGCAGTGTCCTGCAGCATTGGGGATGAAGACGCCCCTGCCGGCCGGGGATGACAGAAACTGGGGGAGGTGCTATACTGTACTATAAGGTACTATGAGATACTATAATGTACTATAATATGCGGTAAGATACTATAGTATACTATAGAAATATACTCAACTGAGCTGCTGTTCTGCAGTTCAGTTGGTACTTAGAAGTTACAAGAAATGGGATATACGTAGTACACATTCAATATGCAATCCCGATTACGAGGCTGTGAGATTTAGGGTTTAGCAGAAATCTTAAGCACAAGAAGTCTGATCTCCTCAGATGCCCCGAAAACTCTTGATCATCAAACACCAGGAGCAGCAAGCGTCCGCAATGTTAGCTTCATTACAAGCAAGCATGGGAGTTCATTGCGATTTACGTAAGGGGTAATACTGGGGCCTTAATAATTAGACTAGGGTTTTGGGGCCCATTATACTATGCTTATAATCAGGAACCCCTAAAATAGTATAGGTACTTATTTAGGCCCCTACATTACCTGACCTCAGGTCTCCTTATAGTGAGCATCCCGTAACATGTTGGGTCTACGTTTGGCCACACCGGAACCTCAGTTTTGATCCTGCTCCAATTACCTGGGCTCCTTTACTCTTCGGATCGCTAATGCTACGGGCCGCACCATCCCTAAATCATCTGAACCTGAGGTAGCTTCCCCGTTCACGCTTGCATGTAGAAAAAGCCCAAGAGGAGGCACTAAACCCTAAACCCTAAACCCTAGACCCTAAACCCTAAACCCTAAACCCCTAAACCCTAAACCCTAAAGCCAGGCTTCGCAGAAACTCTCAACCCGATTGAATGCCAACCTCAAGCTCATTGGCGTGATCTCCCAAGCTATCCTTACTAGGGGCCCTATATGTATTCCTTCATCGTGGGCATCTGGGCTATGGTCAAGAGTAGTTGGACCCCCTGAACAACTTCGAAAGAGTTCAACTCTGCTTAGATCAGACTTCCGAACTGGAGCCCTTTTAGGGTTCCTAGCCGCCTGAACCCTAAACCCTAAACTCTAAACCCTAAACTAAGCCCTAAACCCTAAACCTTACTAAGGGAATGATGAAGGCAGCCTCTGAAGCAGAGAGCTGACAGGAGATCAGGCTCAGAGCTTGGGAGTTTCGGGTTTCAAGGCTTTTAACCACTCATTTTCCTTGGTCATTTAGGGGGCCTTCATAATTAGAAGAGGGTTTTGGTGGATATATTAGACCATAATTATCAAATCCTCGCTAGGGCTCATGAGTCGAAGCAGAGCTGCGCAGGGGGTGGTCTGTTCTTCATGCGATTGCTCCGGGATCCCGCCGAGTCTACTGTAGGGGCCTTTATAATTAGGATAGGTTTTTTTTTGGTGGGGTCCTTCTTATAACTATAGTATAATATACCCCTACTCAAATTATTGAGGCCCCAATATTACGGTGCTTTTCAGCGGCTTCCCTCACAGAAGACTCAGGAGACGCCTCTGCACGATCGCGCGAGTCTGCCAGCTGCGGATGGAGCACAGTGTCGGGTTTGTAGCTGGCGCCTTGTGCTTAAAGGTCTTAGAGCTGAGGGCCTACACCCTAAACCCAAACCGCTTAATCCGTTTTAAAATGTCGTTCGGACTGCAATTGAGTCGACGGTTCTGTGCTGTGGGTGGCGAGCATGTTGAGCCTGGTTGCCTGAAATGCGCGCAGTGGTGAACAGCAGGTCGCACACGAGAACTTCACTTGACCGCACTGTGCCATGAAGGTTGTAAGTTGCAGGACAGATCCAAGTCCGTAACATAGTAGCATCCGGAACAAAACACGAACAGCGCCAACAACTGGATGAAGAACATCGTGGATATCGCGACGACCGCAACGACTCCTCCTCCTCCTCCTCATCATCATCATCATCATCATCACAACCACTGTAAACATCAATATCATAATCATCACCATGGCCAGACTCAGCCGCATCAGCATCATCGTCACCACCACCATCACCAGCGTCGTCTTCCTCATCACCAGTATCATCGCTAATCGAACGATCAGCAGTATCATGTTCGTCATGATTGTCACGACCGCCACGACTAGCATGAACCTCATGGTCGCTATGGTCACCATGATCATGATGATAATGACGATAATGATGCGATGGTCATCATCACGAGCATCATCATCAGCCTCATCATCATTACCATCATCATCCCCACCCTCATCCTCATCCTCATCCTC